CAAATATATATTTTACGACAACTGTCTTGTTGACGGCGTCTTTTATTCGTTCCACTGGGGTTTAGCAGGTGTGTTTATAAAGAGACGAAAATTGTTTGGGGACTATCCCCCACGTTCTAGTTGAGATGGTATAACCCAAGAGGCAAAATGACGCTTGCTACTGTTGTTGCGAGTTGCCATTCGTTCTACTAAACCATTAGTCAAACGCCATCATGTCTTCTGTCGTTATTACACAAACAAAAATCTCTTTACTGTTACTAGTGTTAGTACCTCAATATGGCTACGCTCGTGAAAGCAATACAACGAACTCAAACGCGTCTTCGTTCAATGTTGTCAACAAATATCCGGATTATGCAAATTTTCCTCAATTCTCCGGAGAAATTTTCATAAAAATTTGAAAAACCCGGAATTCCGGGAAAATCCGGAGGACTTTCATCTCTGATACTTTAAAAATCAATCGATAGCAGGGGATTGATGTTAACTTGGTTTGGAGTGAATTTTTCAAAAGACTTGCAATGTAAATAAACACAGAAAAACATGTTTAAAAGAAGAGGTTATTTTCTTACCAGGTCGAGCTGGTACGCTGAGCAGAATCGGTCGAGCTTCACAGCCGGATATGTTGACAGATACAATGGAAACAAAACTTGTAGTGCCAATGGAAATTGAGCACCTGGAGGAATCCTTTGTTTCACAGACAACAGATTCATAAGATTCCATACTCGTGTCGTCGACTGATGGGTAATTTTTGTGGAACCTGGAAATGGAGACAAATGGCAATATACTTTGTTGAGTATTTTATCAATTAAGTCACATAAATGAATGAAAGAAATGAAGTCTTTTGAAATGAAATTTTTTGTTTAAATGACAGTAAATCACGTCTTAGCACACCTACATTTCAGGTAAATTTGGACCAATTTGTGTTTTTACCCTCTCCAGTTGTTTGCTTTAACTTTTGAATGCTTTTCATATTGTTTTAAAATTGTTTACAACACATTATTTTTTGAAATATTTATCGAAAATATAATTTACTATTATTGTTATGATTATACTTTTTTTACATTTGAATTTCTCATGCTACTGAACGTCAAACTATGTATTTGCAATGAATTAAAATAAAATTGGAAAATTATAGAATATGTTGAAGGGAAGAACGGCCCGGTAGTTGGCTGGTTAGCGCGTCTGCCTCACAGTGCAGAGGTGCAGGGCTCGATTCCGGCTACGGCCTTCCTGTGTGGAGTTTGCATGTTCTCCCCATGCCTGCTGGGTTTTCTTCGGGTACTCCGGTTTCGTCCCACATTCCAAAAACATGCATGGCAGGTTAATGGAACATTCTAAATTGTCCCTGGATGTGAGTATGAGCGCGAATGCTTGATCTATGTGTGCCCTTCGATTGGCTCGATTGGTTGGCAACCAGTTCAGGGTGTCCCCTTGCCTACTCGAAGAGAGTTGGGATCGGCTCCAGCACGCCCAGTCACCCTTGTAAGGATGGATGGATATTGAAGGGAAAGGTCATATATGACTGTGATAACAGGAAGGCAATAAGGGTAAATGGCCTAACAGCTGACGCATACTTTAACATGGTCACAGGCACGCAGTCTGAGGATTCAACCTGCCACCTTCGGGAGGCTCTAGCAACTGAGCCAAACCACACCAGGATCAACATTCAAATAACTCAGAGGAGTTTTAAATGTGTTCTTTGTAACCATCCATAGAAAAAGCCAGGGGCCTGAGTATACTAAAGTGACTTCACATTAGCAGATCAAAGGGATGTAAGCGCCCAAGTTTCACAATGTGGTGACTGAAAAGAATTACAGGCTGTCCATGTACAACCAGCCGAAGTCTCCTGAACTGCAAAAAACATATTTCTTGTGAATATTTAAGCTAAAAAATTTCACGAGTGCACACAACGCTGTTGGCTTCCATTCACTTGAATGAGAGCCGCAGCCAAAGCTGCCTCTGCGGTCATCCAGCCCGACGGTCGAGGCCCCGTGTCGAAGCAGCGTCTTCAGGCAGCCACCGGACCGCTTGGATGCCGGAGTATGATGATGACCGAGCTGTGCCTTTTCTGTTTTAACTCTACTTTTACTTCAGCTGCTGGATACAATAATTGACATTGGATTCCAGTATAAATTGACGAATTCTAGTGATTTTTCACTGCACTTTCAACATCCCGAACGAGAGCGCGATTAGCAGGCCGTGTGTGGATTGTTTTCGGGTCTTGCAGGTGCCGTCGTCGAGCGAGGCAACGTAAATAAAAGCAGGACAACCGAGAAGGGCTCCGGGTTGGCCTAAGCTCAATGCTGAGCACTCAAACTCCGCTGCCGAGCCTCTCTGCCCCCAACGCCAGAGCCATAACACACAAAACGGGCAATCTGGAAGAACAACTAATTTGGGACTGTTGCATTTTCTTAAACACGGAAACCTGGTTACATGCTCAGATTCCTCACACTTCAGTGCAACTGTATTTGAGGCTTTCTGCGACACAAAGTGAAAGTTTCATCGCCAGATTATGATGCCCAATAATGCACAGACTACAATTAACAACAAATGTATTGTACGTTGATGACTCTAATGAGGATAAGTCGTTCAGAAAATGGATGGATGATAGCAAACGCTATGGCAATGCACTGTGTCGTTACTGTCATCACAGTGATTAATACCTGGCTCTTTGAAGTGTAGCTATGGTGAGTGAATATTGAATCATTTTTTAAAATATTGGTCCTTGAAAGCATCTTCACATGAAAATGACCCATTCGCACTAAATTGAGGTCCTGTGTTTATATTTAAAAATGTGTGTGCACATGTACTGTATGTATGTGCCTTGTGTAAAGGTCACTGCTAAGTAAATGAGTCTGAGAGTAATTTAATCTTTAAACCATTAATATTAAATATATAGAGAGTAAAAAAACTGCACATTCCTGCATTAATCTTCCTAACAGAAGTGATATTTTGTTCAGAAAGATAGGGTGAAAGGAAGGAACTAAGAGACACATCGTTTTACTTTAGATAGTATTGTATGTGGTGTGTTTATAATTGTTGAATGTCGTTAAAAATTAACAGTCCATGAATCTTTGTTATTGGATTACATTTTTATTTGTTTATCCAAGCTATTTTATTTTTCCTCATTTAAATTCAAGCTTTCCCTATCCTTGAGAAATGAAATATAATTGCACATTAAAAGGGTGTACTTTCATTATTTTTGCTCTAATGTCATCAGTCTATCAATGGCATTTTAAACAGCAACAAACAAACAATATTACCATTTATTGTGATAGTTGTGGGTAAATATATTGTCTGGAAACATTTTATTGTGAAAGGCCTACCAATAAATAATGTAACTACAGAACAGAGACAAAAAGAAAAAAAGAATCAGATATAAATTGGATTTATTAAAAAAAAACAACCAAAAAAAGGAATAAAACAAGAGCACTCACATCAAGCGCTGTAGGCTAACTGCCACAACAGCAGAGTTCAGCCTGGCTGAAGGAAGTCTGGGAACCCCCAAATCACACGTCAAAGTTTCCCAGTTTTCGTCAATCCTGCACAGGATGTTCAAACAGGTGCCTGTCAAGACATTGACAATACATTCTCATGAGACTGAAACTTACAAAGCAGCAACAATTAAGCGCTACTTCCTATTTAGGACTTTCAGAACCTCGGTCATTTGGAAATTCCAAAATTGAGGGCTATTTGAATGAGGTCACGAAGAATCAATATTTTGATACACATTTACTGCCAATTTTTGATCATTTAATGAACGTGTCTGTATATTATCATTGATTTATTTTATTGCGCATATAAACACTTTACAAGATACAATAAAAATTGCAAGAAAAAGACAAATCATCAATACTTGTCAGAGTTCAACTCAGTTCACGTGTTTCTAGGGAGGAGGAAGAAGTGCAAAACTCCCCATTGTTCTCTATGTATTTCTCATATCAAATTGTTACATTTGTAGATAATTTATATTAAAAAAGGACGCCGGCGTGGAACAGAAACAAACAAAACAAAACAAAACACGCTTCTTCTTAACACAAGTATAAGTGAGGCTTGTGAACACATTCAGCTGTATTCGTGATCCTGGAGCAACATGTGGAAAAAATTTTGTAGACTAGATTATTAAAAAAAATAAAATAAAAATAAAAAAAGAAAGAGACTGTAATAATTAGATACAGATGTGGTGAACACACAGAAAATATTGCAAAAATATTATTATCGGTCATTATTTCAAACCAGTTTGTTTAGAGAGATGAATAGAATCATCAATGATTGTTATAATTATTTTTATATTTTTTTCACATCAAATGTGAGTAAATTGTCATTTTCATACATGGATACAATTTGTGCATATACTAGGATGTTAGCCAGTTTACACATGAACCGAGTTGTGAAACCAATTTCATTGACAGCCATGTCAGTATTAAAATCATCTCTGTCTGCCAATCATGGAGAAACACAAGAAATGTGTCTCCAGTAGAAAATTGTCTTGGGTGCTCAAGATAACCAAGGCCTGACATGTGCTGACATGTTACCTTCACTGTCAGAAGATGAAAGGTGATAAGCAGATTGATGTGCGTTTCACAGCAAACCCGTCGTCTACCCTACATTGTCAGCCTCACGCATCATCATCTGTACCACCGCACTGGTAATATCCCATTATTAATATGCATATTTTATGAAGATAATGCCGACAATCATATAGGTAAACAATTATGACAGTATTTCTTCATCATTTCCCCAAATTGAAGCGGTTAAAGACACATAGTTTTCTGTCTCATACAATAAAGGTAAAGGCTTGATCTCATCATAGCGATGTATTGGATCACAGCACAAGAGAGTCGCGGTCAGCCACCTCAACCACATGCTGCAGGGAATGCCAGATAAAAAGCCAATAAAGTGTAATGAGCCCGTGGGAGTGATCTTTCCGGGGACAAGCGATGCATGGGTAGCAGGCTCAGCCGTGAAGTGGATGATGAGCAGGAGTTGCATCATCACCCCTTTGGATTGGTCTATCAAAAGCTTCTTTTTACTTAACAGTCATGGCTATGTTCCTTCATTCAGTGATTGCTGTTTGCCCTTAACTGAGTCAGTCAACATGCAGCACACTCTAAAAAAAAAATGAGAAAACACCTTTTATCTTTCCGAAAGGGATACTGTCCATACAGCAAAATCTCAATGTTTCGTCTTTAGACCTCACACAACCAAGACCATTATCTGTGCAACGAAAAGAATGGCTCTCTGTGGTTTTTAAATTCAACTCAAAAAACTAAATAAACTGGGCACAACGTGGATATCAATTAAAATGTATTCATAACTTGGGTTGTGGTTTTGTTTCGTTGCTTGAAAAAAATGTGTGTCAGGGATGGCTGAGTGGTGGGTGGCCTAACCGCACTCTGAGTGGCCCCTTAAATTTTATTTTTTTCTGATCCCCTTAATTCTCCACAAAATGCAGCTAAACATTCGCTGTATGTTTTCCATGAAAAAAGGGGGTAAATGGAGAAAACATTCCCGGAGAAACTGGGACAACCGAAAATATTTCTGAGTATTGAAAAAAAAACTGCAAATATGCAAATTTTTCGTTGCCAAACTGAAAATATGCATCAAATGTAATTTTAAGTTGTAATATCACCATTCACCACTAGATGGAAGACGTGGCTTTGTTATATTATATATGTTATATATGTATATTTTTTTGCGGTTTTGGATTGATATTCAGGACAAACATAGTACCTCAGGAATACAAAAAATTTGATGGAGTTTCTGTGTGGAATTTTTCTGCATAATTTTGCATAATCCTTCTATACTGTAACTACGAAACAATTAGCAACATTCATAAAATAAAGGATGTACGGACAGCTAAAGAAAAATGATTTAACATCCTACAAAATGTAGCAGAATGATACAGAAATGTGTGGAATTACATTTGTACAAATATGAATAATTATCACAAGGTATTTTACCGCCAGAGGCTTTGTTAAGACTTGATCCAGTTGAAATGCTCCTTAAGTAGCAGTAAGGGTGTTGTGAGAGCATTGATCCAGAACGGATTCTCTCAGGTGTCGGCGTGCTGCTCCCCTCCCCCTCCTGCGCTGAAGTTGAGTCATAGCACACTTGGTCCTGCCACGGCAAGTCCAGCACACCTGAAAGGAGTCCTGCTCTTTCCTCAGGCTTCAAGCACAGAGTTCCTAGTGACGGGAGAGGCAGAGGGGTTAACAGTGGTTCTCCTGTCCGTTCACAGTGACAGCGTTTGTTCAATCCGAGTCTTTTATGAAGTGCAAAAAGTGTCATTACTACGACATAACATGTGACAGGGGGCATGTATAGCATTGGGGTGTACCTGACAAATGATTCTGCTCAGGTTAAAGTCATCTCATTTGTCTCCAAAATGGAAGAGTGCAACTGACTCACTTTATGTTATTCTTTCTCCCGCCCCACTGAAGCAAAACCGTGTCTTCTCTCACAATACATCAAGTGTGTCATAAATGGAATGAGTGTTTAAGATTATTGCGGGACTTCACACAACATGCCCAGTATTACCTCATCACATACCAGTTGAACTGAAAGGTCACTTTTAAAGATAAAAGTGAATGTTCCAAAGTTTCTTTTGCTTTAGGTTTTTACTCTTGACTTCAATTACTTTTTGTGTCATTTTTGAATGAGCAGCAAAACCTTCTTTTACAAATTGGGGGTGATGTTTTGAGGGATTGTATTTAATCTACAAAACCAAATTTCAATGAAAACAAAGAAAAATAGAATACAATGATTTGCAAATCATTTTCAGCCCATATTCACTTCAATACAATATAGAGAACAGATATTTCATGTCCAAAACGATTAACTTTACTGGGTTGTTTTCATCTATATACTCATTTGGAATATGAGGCGAGATTAAAATATTGATAGCAACATTGTATCCTACACATTTAAGAGCTCACAGTCAGAGGTAAAACTCACCAGTGAGTATCAGCAAAACAAGGATGAGGACAGACAACATCGCTGATTGAGCCCTGTGGAGAGACAGAGAACAGATATGTGAGGAAAAAAGAAATGCTTCGTTTTGCGGTCGCCGAGTTTATTAATTTAGCAGGCGTGAAGCATAAAGTACATGATCAAGAGGCCAGCCATATTTAACTCTACAGATATATTCTATGAACCGATGGGACACATGCAAACCGGAATTTTAAATAGGTTTCAAAAGCCGTTCCATCACTAGTGCGTATGCCTGTTTGCGCTAGCTGAGCGGCGAGCAAGATTACTGGCAGGAGAGAATGCCGATGACATATTTAAACAAAATTCTGTGTGAATGACCATTTTCATGTCAGAAAAAAACTATTGCGTCCGTTTTCACTCTTTGAGCCATAAATTGATGTAATAATTATTGTGACAGGCTTAATGATGATATATTGTCATGATGTCCAATCTTGATTATGAGCCCCATTTTTAAATTTTTTTACAAGCATAATACAATGCAATGTCTAACTCTGACTGGCACAGGAGAGCGTTTGCTTCCTTACGAGAGGCTCCAAAGGAGAGGCTCTCATTGTAAAAGCGATTAAGATTAAGATATCCTTTATTTGTCCCACACTGGGGAAATTTACATTATTAGTTTATAATTAGATTAAGAGCAGACACCGTGTTGGATCAGTGGTGTGACGGCGGACGTTAGAAAACAAATATTACAATTCTGTGTCTTACAAATAAAACAAATACTGAGAGACACTGAAACATTTTTTTTTCCACACCACAAAAATAGGTAGAGCATGAAAACGTTGACTCGAACTGCTTGTTGTCATGCACATTTGAGCCATGTTTGATCAAGTAAATAAGCTCACAGCTGATCCTGTGATGGACCAGAAATTTATCGCAATCATATAATAGACCAGTCCTACTCTAAGGTTTGCATTTTGACCAGAGAAAACCTAATCGGAAGGGGATCATTAATTGATCAAAACAACCATTCAAATATTTATATTGCCTTTTCGTTTTCGCATAATGAAGAAGTTTATAATTACTAAACCTGACATTAATGCACAAATTAAGTTTATAATTCCTGCTTTATTGTTCCATATACTTATCAGGTTGTGTACAGTCAATTGCTTTAGTCTTGTTTTCACAGACCGATGTTATCAGGTACTAATTTCCACCCTTCTCCCTTGTCCCACTCATGATGTCAGATGCCGTTTTAAAGCCACCCTCTGTAGGCAGTTCGCACAGTCATGCTTTCACACCGAATGAGTTCATTTCCACAGTAAAACTCTCACTGATGGTGATGACTACGTGTCGCTACTTACATTGCTGTATTCAAAGTGTGGACATGGCTTTGCTGGACTTTTTCTCGCTTTTACTGCATGAACAAGAAAAAGGGATTTGAGATTCTTTCATTTCTGTTGTAAAAAGAAACAAAGATTACTGGCAGGAGAGAATGCCGATGACATATTTAAACAAAATTCTGTGTGAATGACCATTTTCATGTCAGAAAAAAACTATTGCGTCCGTTTTCACTCTTTGAGCCATAAATTGATGTAATAATTATTGTGACAGGCTTAATGATGATATATTGTCATGATGTCCAATCTTGATTATGAGCCCCATTTTTAAATTTTTTTACAAGCATAATACAATGCAATGTCTAACTCTGACTGGCACAGGAGAGCGTTTGCTTCCTTACGAGAGGCTCCAAAGGAGAGGCTCTCATTGTAAAAGCGATTAAGATTAAGATATCCTTTATTTGTCCCACACTGGGGAAATTTACATTATTAGTTTATAATTAGATTAAGAGCAGACACCGTGTTGGATCAGTGGTGTGACGGCGGACGTTAGAAAACAAATATTACAATTCTGTGTCTTACAAATAAAACAAATACTGAGAGACACTGAAACATTTTTTTTTCCACACCACAAAAATAGGTAGAGCATGAAAACGTTGACTCGAACTGCTTGTTGTCATGCACATTTGAGCCATGTTTGATCAAGTAAATAAGCTCACAGCTGATCCTGTGATGGACCAGAAATTTATCGCAATCATATAATAGACCAGTCCTACTCTAAGGTTTGCATTTTGACCAGAGAAAACCTAATCGGAAGGGGATCATTAATTGATCAAAACAACCATTCAAATATTTATATTGCCTTTTCGTTTTCGCATAATGAAGAAGTTTATAATTACTAAACCTGACATTAATGCACAAATTAAGTTTATAATTCCTGCTTTATTGTTCCATATACTTATCAGGTTGTGTACAGTCAATTGCTTTAGTCTTGTTTTCACAGACCGATGTTATCAGGTACTAATTTCCACCCTTCTCCCTTGTCCCACTCATGATGTCAGATGCCGTTTTAAAGCCACCCTCTGTAGGCAGTTCGCACAGTCATGCTTTCACACCGAATGAGTTCATTTCCACAGTAAAACTCTCACTGATGGTGATGACTACGTGTCGCTACTTACATTGCTGTATTCAAAGTGTGGACATGGCTTTGCTGGACTTTTTCTCGCTTTTACTGCATGAACAAGAAAAAGGGATTTGAGATTCTTTCATTTCTGTTGTAAAAAGAAACAAAGAAACAAAAACACAGTTTTCACCTCAAAGGTCATCACTATGAACATGGATCGCTTTGAGAAAATAACAACAATTGGATAAGAACATTTTGGAGGAAATCCAATGTCAATTCAAAACTATTTGCTTTAATTGCGCAGGAAAAAGAGCAGGAGGGCATATGACTTCACACCAACTGGTAAGCACACATGTTGATCAATTCGGATAAACGCTCGACTTGAGCCAAAATGGAAAACATCCCCCAAAAACATGTGAAGTGTGGTCAGTGCATGTGAGTATTTGTGAATGTGTTCAAGTTGAAGACACACAACAGAGGCTGCTTTGGTAACAGAAGTGGCAGCCATTTCAGTACAAATTACCATAACACAATGGGATCAGTTATGATCAACACAAGTTTCCTTTGGGGAATTTCACATTCTCCAGATGTCCCAAAAAGAATGTTATGAAGAGTCATGCGGCGCCAATTTCTGCAATTACTTTTCTAAGAGACGTGGTGAAGTGACTTGGTTTGAGAAGACTACTGTGGCTGAGTAGCTAATTGCTAAAAAGTGCAATCTGATTCAAATTTTGGTAATGCAATACTCACATTTTAATGTGCATATGTAATGGTAGCTATTACTACAGTCATCGACAACACAGTAGAAAAAAACTAAGCTCTCAAACATCTACTTTTGACAGCATTATATATCACCACAAAGACAACAAAAGATAAGCAATATTGTCTCATGCCAATATTGTTGCATTTTTGCGTTCTGCACCCACTCATCCATTTTCGATACCACTTGTCCCTTTCAGGGTTGGTGGAATCCACTCTGGATTAGTCGACAGTCAGTCAAAGGGCGCATAAAGAGACAGACAAACTTTCACTACTGCATTCAAATGCAGCTGCAGCACTAAAAGGACCTGCTACACCATCAGTCCGTCTATTTTTTAACCGTACACATCTTCTTTGAATTTAATCTTCTTTGGAAACTACGTTATTACATTAGGCACAAGTGAGCCATTTGTGCCTTGTGTATTTTCCACATGTAAAGTCAGATCATGGTTCCTGTCCTGAAGGCTTTTTGCCAACTACCCATGGTCTGACTCACCCTGCCCTGCCAGTGGGAAAATGCTGCTTGGTGCAAACAGGGGAATGGTTTCTCTACATGTATTGTCATTATCAGTACCCCTCTTCATGATGATTATGACCATCACCAACAAAATATGTCCAACAAAAAATGTTCAATTAAATGAGAACAGCAATTAACTCCCAAGGCGGGCCAAGAACGTAACATCTATCAAGAAAGTGCATTTTGTAGTAGTAGTAGTTGTATTACAAGAACTGATCAGTCATTGTTAGATTTATGAAGACTACAAATCACATGCTTACTCTTTATCTCTCACATTAGTAAAGTCATAACAAAAAAAGATCAATGAAAATTCACAAAAAGTAGAAGCCAAAAATAAAGTGTCAGTGGGACAGAGAGCAGAGGAAAGGAATTTCAACCACCGTGTGACAATAAAGAGCGCAACAAAACAAAGTCGCAGCAACAACAATTTGTTCTTACATCAGCAGGTTGCTCTCCTGGTCTTGTTCGGTTAGTTCGCCTCAAGTTTTAAGTCCTCACTAAAAGCGTTAAAAACTACTGGAGTTTAGTGTTGACGGTTGCTAAGCTGTTACTATTACTCCACTCGCGCCCTCGTCTCGATTGGTAACAGAGCTGAGTGAAGCAGTCCAGCTGAAGGGAAGCGGTATAGTGACGTCACACAATATGGGTGGATCCCACGGAGAGACATTAACGTAACCTCGGAAATTCGCAATTTTAACGGGAAACGTCTCAAGTCTGCTTCAGACGTTCGATTTCTAGGTATGATTTTTTTTTAATTATGTATTTGTTGTGTTTTACAGCTGCATAACCTACTCACATGTTTACTATATGTATGATGTTTCCACAGCTAGGTTGCCAGAGGTGACAAAAAATACTGTTCTCACACTCTAGTTAAGTAGGCTACAGATATTGGTGTTCGAAAACAAAAAAGATGAATAAAAACTAAAAGCAAAAAAAGTACTGATTCTGAAAGCAAAAATGGTTTTACAGTCAGTTATGTACAATACCCATTTTGAAAGCTTGGCACAAAAACAAAAAAAAAATATTTGCATACAAAATAGTTCCCCTCTTTCAATATCTTGTACTGTATATTGCTCTACAGAGGAAAAAAAATCTCTGGAAATGCTCCCACACAGCTTATTCCCATTGCTTTACTAATGTCATGAACACGCTAACAACAACAAAAATTTAATAAAAACATAGTAACAACATGCAGTTTTTAAGATGCCACAAGACAAAACCCATTTGCCAGGAATCATGATTGTAGGTGACATCGTCAAACAATTTTCTTATATAAGGGCATGGATGAGTAAGGTCTTGTTCTCTGTTGTATCGTTGTCATGAATACTTATGTTCCTCCGTGTCACTACTGTCCCTAAGATTTCAATCAGTCTATCAATCAATATCCCAACCTCAGTTGACTTTTCCTCTCTCCATTTATGTATTTCTTGTTCACATTATGCATGCAGTTATCAACTGCGGAGGTTGGAAATAAATTCTCCCCAAGCCCGCACTCCAAAATCACGCATGCACTTTAGGTTCATTGAAGAAATTTTCTTTCTGAGTCAGTGTGTGTCAGGTTCTTTCTCTCCAGTACAGCTGCAGTACAATTGGCTGGGTACCAATCCATGGTTCACAGAGCACAGTATCTTGGCCAAAGTAAGCTTGGAGAGGCTATAACTCACCTATGACCCTAATGAGCACAATCTCTATTGAAAATGGATGATTCGATTACAATGGCGACAATAAAATAATCTTTATTCGCCCAACACGGGGTAAATTTGCAATAAGTTTACTTAACTATTCAATTGAAGTAGTGGTGAATACGGTATATATGACGTCATGACCATGGTATACAGTACTGTGAGGGATGAAATCATGCAAAAAAAGGAGTATATTCAGTGCATGTTTTGAGTGTATTGCAGGTTAGACAAACCTCATCAAGAAATAGATGCACTTTTTACTTCCACAACTCTTTAAAACCATATTCACATTGATCACCAGAAGGGTTGCCACTTAAAATACTACATGATAATAAAATCCCGTTGGTTTTGCCTTTTTAACACAGCAAAATAAAATGTTACTGATCAAACATTTATGTGTGTCTACAGAAATCAAATTTAGTCACAACTGAGTGAGCAAGTCCAATGACTGTGTTTTGACGAGGACAAAAATAGCCAATCAAAGCAAATAAATGACAATACACGATAAATAATTCCCCTTACTGAGTGCAAAATTAGATTAGATTTTCTGAAGCAACACTAGAGCATCTAGCAACAGGATGGGACTGACACCGAGCTAAAGACAACCATTAAAATAATCTCTTTTGCCATCATTTGATTGTGAAATTAATGTACCCCCATAATGATGCTGCTCAGAGCGGTAGATTTGCATGAATGAAGCTCTTCCCTTTCGCACAGCACAGTGACACATCCTTTCTTCATCATAAAGTTTGAATGTGATTGTTAAAAGTTGCATTTTTGACTTTGAGGCATTCTGAAAAATAGAAGTACAATGCTTGTGGGCGGCGGCACTCCGGGTGACTGGTGAGCACGTCCTCCTCATAGTGCAGAGGTGGAGGCTTTGATTCCAGCTCCGGCCTTCCTGTGTGGACTTTGCATGTTCTCCCCGTGCGTGGGTTTTCCTCCCACATTCCAAAAACATGCATCGCAGGATAATGGAGTACTCTAAACTGCCCCTAGATGTGACTGTGAGCGCAAAGGGTTGTTCCTCTATGTGTGATTGGCTGTGATTGGCTGGCAACCAGTACAGGGTGTACCCCACCTACTGCCCAAAGACATCTGGGATGGGCTCCAGCACACCCGCAACCTTTGTGAGGATAAGAAAATGGTTGGAATGTTTGGATGGATGCTCGAGGGCTACACAGAGTGGACTTGCTGATTTGAAAATGTAAAGGTCTGATCCATATCTTAAACTGAAGCTATGAATGTATGTGGGATCATAAAATTATTTTGTACACAATTCAATTGCTGCAGTGACTTGACGTGGATAATCTGAAAACATGCTTGAACCTACGCAGGTTTACAGCCTCTGACAATACTCTTTCAGTGACTTGAATGTTGTCCTTCTGTTGCGCACTAGGGTCTGTTCTGAAAAAAAAAATCACGTGGAAAAATTCTTCAAATTCTTACTTTTATTCCTCAACAGTGAATGATATATACTATTATTAGTAACATGGACATTCCTTCCTTCCAGACAGCGTATTATTGAGGAGACATTTGGAAAGCAAAGTTAACTTCAGTGTGGCTTATTATCCACATCTGGATGGAATTATTTTTCACTCAAGCAGCTGGTTACTTTGATGAATTTAGGGAGCGGGCAAACGTCCATGGGATTAAAAGCACTTCACTGTATAGTTGGTTTATTTTGCACATTTTAGGCAAATACAGAATTGGAAAGAATTTGACTCTTGACTTAAAAAGATCATGTACTTCTGTGTTGACAAAGTAAAGTGCTTCTACTTCTTAAAACCTTGCTGTATTTATATTTACTCATTCTATCGAATTTAAGTGGTTGAACACACACACACACACACACACACACACACACACACACACACAGTAATAGCTGCTTGGAATGTGATATTCAATGACCATAGAAGAGCAGGAAAAAGCAGTAAGAAGGGAAACACCCTTGAGCGGCAGCTCTCTGGGCAATGGGATGACATCATCCACTCAAATGATATCATCCTGAGCAATCTAGGTATGACGTCATCCCTGGGCTATGCAACATTTGTGTGAAAATGATTCAGCAGTGTATATCATCTGATACATAAAAGCATAATCTACATTTTAAAGAAGTTCTGGTTGAAGAAGGGATTGAATGAGAACTTCATTTTGATACACAACTGTTTAACCTGTGGGCTTTCCTTCCCAATCTCTTTTTTTCTTGGAGTTGCTGACACGCAATTCACCCATGAATATTAAAATGGAACAATTTGATAATTAAAAAATGATTTGCATCAGGTCATTATCCAGGTGAGGCTGGCTGTGTAGGATTTTTTTTAGACACTATTGTCACTCTAGTTGTCATTTTGTTATATTGATGTGTGTGTGTGTGTGTGTGTGTGTGTGTGTGTGTGTGTGTGTGTGTGTGTGTGTGTGTGTGTGTGTGTGTGTGGTTGCATATTAGAGTGCGAGATTGTATTCTAATGACAGACTTGGATTCAAAGATATTTTAAAAACACTGTCATAAAGATAGCTCAGCTCATTCAGCTTATTCCTATGTCACAGATACACAGCAGGATGATGTCAGAGCTCAATATCACTGCCTTTGCTGAGTCAAACTCAAGCTATGCAACATTATGAGATGACGCCTCCCAACAAAGAGCCTGTAGCATACCCTCTCACATGGAGATTAAGGCACTTTCATGAACGACAATGCAATGTGAAGTAATATAGTAATGTTATATCTCATCTCATTTTCAACACCGCTGCTCTTGAAGAGGGTCGCGGGAGTTGGTGGATCCTATCCGAGCTGACTTCGGGCGAAAGGCGGAGTAACCGTGGTCGCCAGTCAGTAACAGGGCACACATAGAGGCAAAGAACCATACACATCCACATTCACACCGTCACTGAGTGGGAACCGATCTATTTATTTGTGTAATGCCACAGTTCGGTTGATTTTTGTATTCTACTCCTTCTAACATCTGTGTGAACATGCAAACTCCACACAGGTAGGCCAGAGCTGGAATCGAACCCGGTACCTCTGCACTGTGAGGTCGGCGTGCTAACCACTGGTACACTGGGCCGACCTGTCATATCGTAATCATCGTATAATGCTGACAGCGTTGCAGCATGATGTCTTTTCCAGGGCGCAGCTGAATCATTACCCCTCAAAAGCTTCTCTAGCTAAAATGCAAGCTGATGTGACATTAGTCATGAGATCTGGTTAATATAGTAGGTCTTCTAATCGTTAAAGCAGACCACTTGTCAAAAAACACCAGTCAAAGAACATGATTACTGTGCTGACATCAGCCATTGTGTCAAGCGATACAAGTACTGCAAAACAATTCTGAAATATTTCACAGCAGCATGACGCTCGTTACGTTACTCATGCTGTATAACTGAACAGGTTTCCTTTTATTGTGAAAGGTGAAAAGCTCAAAAGTATCCAATTCACCGCTAAAGTAAAGTGAAGTAATTTTCATTTCATAGAAGCTGTCTTATGCCTGGATTTTTTTTTCTGCTTCAAAAAAGTTGAAATTTGGATGCGAAGCAAAACAAGAAATGTCTACTTGAGCGTCAGACCTTCCCTGTGGACAAAAGTTTGAGATCTAAAAGCGACAAGCGTGTCTAACAAGCTACAGCGTTCTTCCAGTGTCTTGACTCTCCTCTCCTGTATTTCTTGGGATTTACTTTAGGAAAGTGTATTAAAATACGGTATATTCAGTGCTTACAAATCTGTTATGAGTCAACATTTTCCACCTTTTACAGAATTAACTGAGACATTGCTCAACCGGAATGCTGCATGTGAAACCAGCACCTGCCAAAAAATGAATTCACAAGGGAAACAGTGTCTGAGAAATGCAGGGAAAAAAAGAGTGAGTCAATGTCGCCTGTCAACCAGCTATGTAGCGTTCAACCACAGATCAGATTTTGGCT